CTGACTTCAAACTTGCAATCCTCCTGCCTTAGTCTTCCAAGCTGCTGGGATTACAGGAGTGCATCACTATACCCAGCATTATCTTTCTTTTTAAAATTTCTTCTCTTTTCTTTCATTCTTCCTTTTCTTTTCTTTCTTTCTTTCTTTCTTTCTTTTTTTTTTTTTGTGTGTTGCTAGGGATCAACAAATGCAGGTTGTTGTGCATACTAGTCAAGTACTCTACAATGAAACTGTATTAGGATAGAATGTTTTGGACACATACTGCAGAATGCTGCGGTTTGGATATGCTTTGAGTGTGCTCCCCAAATGGTCATCAGCTGGAAGTTTGGTGCCTCCAGTGTGGCAATGTTGAAGTAGTAGTACTTTTAACAGGTGGTGCCTAGTAGAAGTGTTGAGGTCATTGGTCTTGGAAGGGACTAATATAGTTATTGCAGGACCCAGTTAGTTTAGTGAAAGAAAATTGTTATGAAAAGAACAAGACCTGAATCTCTGTTGTTTCCTTGCCATATGACTGCCCTCTCCCTTTCCAATGTGCTCCTGCTGAGTCTATATACTAGGTTATGATATAGACAGAAGGCTCTCATCAACAGTCAAACAGATCTTGGACTTTCGACCTCCAAAACTTTAAGCTAAATAAACTTGCTTTCTTTATACATTATCTACCCTCAGATATTTTTTTTTATAGCAATGGAAAACAAGCTAAGATATTCACCTCCTTCAAAATTTTATGTATTCAGATCTGTTAATTGATCCTTTTCCTTTTTTTTTTTTTTTTGGTGTTTTGTTTTTAAAGGGTCTCACCCATGCCAAGAGCATATAAATACTCATAGGAATGTTTACGACTCATTTATCTTTTTGAGTACAGATTTCACTGATTTTTTAAAAAAAACACTTTGTTCAAAACCTTACTTTTTGTTTTTGTTCTTTAGTCTAAATTTGTTTACTGTTAATACTAGAATTATTAAAAAAAAACATTAGACTAATTAAATTTATCAGGGAGTAATTTAGCAAAGAATGATTCGTGAATTATGCAGCACTCGGAACTAGAAGAGGTTCAGAGAACTCTGGGATGGGGGCAGGAAGTATTCATCAGAAAAGGAAAGTGAGGTGCAGATACAGCTGTGTTTTCCTTATTTGAACATAGTCTGATGAGTTAGCAGCTGGTAACTGACTGGAGCTCAGCTACTAGGACTGGCTGAGACAGCTATT